GTAGACACACACATCAGTGCTGTGTCTTGGCTGTAGACACAAAGGAAAATGAAAGTGCGAAACTTCCTTACGCACGTTTGCTTTCATTTTCAAGTACGATTACAGAGGATAAGAAAGGAGTATAGAGTGATTGAAGTTTATGTTTTTTGAGTTTCTGAAACCAATAAAAAGCCAAATATACTGGCAATATATTGTTTGAGGCTATGCGGTGGAGTAGTTGCAGAGTGTGTTATGAAAAGTCTTCAGCAGAGCAGGAGCTGAGAACGGAGAACAGAAAGTTCTCTTGCGTCAACAATAGAACCACTATGTCGCCTTTAAGTGTTACTCGTAAACTACACCTTCTACTTTGGGTTTTTTTTGTTGTTTTTGGTTTTTTTTTTTTGTTGTTTTTATTACCGCTTCTGTTTACCTTTAGTTAAGGTTAGTAGTTAACCTATTGTCTGCATGTTGATTTTGTTCGTTTTTAATGTGTTGTCTTAAATAAAAAATAACCCGGAAACCATAAGACACAAAAAATATGTCGACAGTAAAAATGAAATCTCGCCAGAGGATTGGAAATCACGCTCTATGTAACTCCTGCCACATTAAATACTTATATAAATAAGCTAAAAGCATACATAACAGATAAAACAATTTTATTCTATTTACCTTTTTCTATTTAATTGAGCTTTTTACTTTCGTGTATTTTTGTTATTTTCATGTTATTAAGCTATTTGGGTTTAACCCTGTACAAATACCATGATAGAATGGTTTATCTTCTGGGTGATAAACCATTTTATCATCCAGAAGGGCAAAATAGCCATTTTTGTCTTTTGTCTTTTGTTTTAATGTGAAAGTCATAAAGCTAATAGCTATAATTTGTTACTTCTAAGTCAGATTAAATAACATAGGAGGTCACTTTTACAATTCATGAAGAATAATTTTAATGTCAGTGGCAGGGTAGGCATGCAAGTGACACAAATAATGTCAATAAATTATGAAGAGATCGACAAGAAGAGAATCCATGAGAACAAGCCCAGTTTCACAGCATTTGTGATGGAGCCTGAACGCATCACTAGTCTGAGTTCCCATGATGCACTTCGTCTTCAGTTGGATGGCGACAGTCGAGCGTCTAAAGTCGAGCTGACTTCTGCTCTATTTTTAGGTGTTTTGGGAGCGATGGAGAGTGACTGCACGGATTTTTGTGCCTCTAACGTGCAGCTCATGTGTTTACGTTAATTTAAGGAGGCCACGCGCTTGTTTTTCGACCTGTTAGCCAGGCTGTTTGTTTCGGTAAGCAAAAGTTAGCAAGTAAAAGCCGCCGACAACGTCTGATTTTACTATTATTACATAGCTGATAGACATTTCGTTATTTACACAGCTTTTTTAAATTGCTTTTTTATTTTATTTGTTTAATTTACAGTGTTTCGGTCGTGCATTTCTGTCATTAATGCACACGCCCAGTGCTCGTCACTGCAAAGCGTCTGCAGAGAAAACAAATGCTTCTAAATGTCACTTTGGGTGTTTAAAACGAAACTATTAACCAGCCACTGTTTGGTAAACAGTACTTTGTTTGCGGATAGCCCAACACTTGATGTATTTAACGCATCTTATTTGGATGTGATGATGTCAGGGTGGTTGGATTACATGCTAATTAATTCTCAGATTGTCTCTCAGTTTTTATTGGGGAAGTAAGAAGCTACTTCCCTGCAGACGTCTTCTTTAATCTGTGCTTCACATGACTTAGAGGGTCACTCACAGAAAGCATGAAATGGCAGATAATGTCACAGAGCACAGCCTCGTGATAGGAAATTCTGGAAACTCGATGTGAGGAGGGAAACTCGTTTCCTTCTCGTCACATGTCTGGCTCGGAGGCGTGGCCATATTCAGGATACAAACTCGCATGACTCGTTTGGTCGCTGTTAGTCAAGCCTGCAAGTGCAAAAAGCGCAAGTCTTTTTTTGTGTGTTTCAGTGTGCCATGTTAGAGTAACTTATTACAGGAGGTGCCATGCTCGCCACGCAGACTGAAGCTCCACACGAGACTAAGGATGTTAAAAAGGTAAGAATCAGCTTGTTTCACGTTGCGGATTTCACTTCTCTCTGGCTCCTTCCTCTGCTGGTGAGACAGCGTGAGAGTTGGCTTGTGATATTTAAATAGTATTGTAATGCAAAGTACCCCCTTGATGTTTAGGTTGTGGGGGACATGGGGTGCTCCAAAAGAAAAACAACAACAGCACAGCCTGTTTTCAATACGCCACTAATAGCGGATGCAGCAGAGGAAATGCATCATAATCCCGGTGCTAAGCTCATCAACAGAGGATTTTCATTATGTTTAATGGTGAAGCTGGTCTTGCATAGGTGTAGTCCCACCCAGGACTACAGGAGGTCTTCTGGTACAGACAGGAAGGGAAAAAAAAGCCCAGATGGACCTCTCTGCTGCTGTTGTGCACACTTTAGGGGACCTGCATTGAAAGACTGAATGAAGGTTAACCTAAGAAACTTGTAACAAGTTCTATTCTTTTGGATCAGTGGTGGACATGTTTTGTCTCAGAGGGTCTTACTTACTTTGATAAATTAACCCAAGAGTCAAATATTGAACAATTAATGTGAAATAGTTTCACATATTTCAGAAGTATTTCAAGATTTTTTTCATAGACATAACTGACGCATCAGGCCTGAGTGATCGTGTCAGGAATCAGGAACTTGCTGTTAGTACTTTTTGTGCTTGTGTGTCTATGGTGAACTGTAACATAAAACCATAAAAGCTGAATTACTTAACAAAGAATAGATCTGGCTAATATTTGCTGTTTACTTTTAATATTTTAACTCACACATTGGCTTTCTTATACTAATGCCGCATGTATCAAGTATATTTTCAGTGTGACTATTGAATTATAACTCTGAGATTTTAATGAATCATCCCGTGTTTCTTGAATCTAAATAATGACAACAAGTGAGACGGTCACCTCTTACCATCAAAGCTGTTATGTTAAACATGTTATTGCTCCAAATGTGTTTGGGTTTTTTTAACCACTAACCACAATTAAACTCCTCAACATCATTCATATTCAATCTGTTATCATGGCTTGCAGAGATTTGTTGTGCACTGTATATGATTGTATAACTTAAACTGTATTCTTAACTGCCAAGGGCTGCCACTAGTCTGTGGGCTACTCTTTGAGAGTCTAACTCTAACCTGAATGGTAGACTTCAGAATCAGAATACTTTTATAATCCCTAAGTAAATTATGTGTGTTAAAGTTGCTCCAAGACAGTAACAGACCAAACTAAATAAATAATGCAATATGCTACAAAGGTTACAAATTTAAGAAACAGCGCTAACATATACAAATTGCTCAATTATAAATATCAAGAATATTACAGAGGTAAATATATATGATTGACATTTAACTCTAACCTGTGAACTTTGTCATTTGATATTTTACTGTAGAGAGTGTGCAAAAGGGTGTAACTATTGCAGTGTTTACAGTATATTAGATGGAGGAGTTGTACAGGGAGATGGCCACAGGCAGGAATGGTTTCCTGTGTGGTGCAGTGTGCTTTTTGGTAATCCGTCTCTCATTGAACGTGCTCCTGTGACTAGCCTGCATGTAATGGAATGGTATTATTCAGCATTGTCCTTATCTTGGACATCATCCACCTCTCAGACATGACCCTTCCTGCAACATTACTGGCCTTGCGGATCAGTTTGAGTCTGTTGGCATCTGCAACCCTCAACCTGCTGCGACAGCATGCAACAGCATAGAGGATAGCACTGACCACAACAGACTAACAGAAAATCCTGAGCATTGTCAGACAGATGTTGAAAGACCTCAGCCGCCTCAGAAAATAGAGACAACTCTGGCCCTTACTGTAAAGTGCAGTGGTGTTCTTAACCCAGTTCCGTTTATTGTCTTTGTGTACTCCAAGGTATTTATATTCCTCCACAATGTCCAGAGGGTTCAATTAAAGAAGAAGTGTTCCAACTAGGCTTTCCTAGGATCATAAAAATGAAGACGTAAATGATCCTTTAACAGTAAGAAGCCTGAGTCATAGGTGGGGCTACCCACTAAAGAAGTTTTTGACCTTTCACCAAAGAAAAGTATCCAGAACTATGATTACAAATATTTGTAACCAGTATTTTTTTTTTAAAGTGAGGCTTATTTTACCCAAGTTTAAAATAAGTTTTTTTTTACAATTTGTTTATAAAATAGCTAAAAATAACAGGGAGAAACTTCTGTTAGCTTAGATAACAAATCGTATTTTCCGTAACTATGGACCAGTCGTGTGTAGTCATCCTCCAGACGCCAGGAAAACCCCAGGGTTATGGCTTTTTTTCAAATGTGTTTTTCAGATGTTTCAATGAAAGGAAAAAAAATGAGTTAAAAAAATGTAAATAATTTTTATGTTTTGTTAACAAGGCTTTGAGACC